CAGCACTAGAAGTATGCATGCCTCTCTAAAGCAGCAAAGAAGAGATGTAATTCTTGGGTCCTAGTTTGTAATGGCATTCAAAATTTTAAATGGAACACAGGCCAGAATATAGGTATACATATCATATCCTTTTCCTCCAAGAAAACAACTGGCCTAATATATCTCTTTAGCCCAATTAGACTTCAATCATTTGTCTGCAAGGAAAAGTGAGGTTCCAGGCTTTGGAGTTTTGTTGGTTTGTTGTTTATTTTGGGCGTTTCTTTTTTTTTACAGGAGACATGAACAAAGCCTCTTCCTCCTCACTCCTTTGTGCTTCTGAACAAAAGGGAGAGTCACCACAGGGTTTTGGTCCAAGTCCAATTCCATAGGTGTGCCTGAGGTGTGGTTTGAACATGCCTTTGAACAAGTGAGGGCCTAATTTACAGATTGCCTAATTTATGAATAGTAAACAGATTTTAGATGCCAAGATGCTCGGTTATGATAAGATTCTGGAAGATGTGAATGAGAACAAAACTTCAGTGTTCAACTTTGGAAAACTTTACTAGTGAAAACCTAGAAATCCTCTAAGACAGACATCAATTTTATTTGGAGTTGGACACACAAAACCCATTTAAATAAATTTTGACTCCTCCATATTATTTTATGGATTTGTGTATATGGTTGGCCATATACACAACACAACATAAACCAAAACCATCTTAGAGGTACCTGCAAATATCCTTTTTAGTGGAACTCTAGAAAGACCTCTATAGAATAATTATGTCACACATATTTATTTTAAAAAACTACCTTAACTGGAGACGTGTCTTACTCTAAGAAGTGTTTTAACTAAAGCATAATAATCTAACACCACTTATCTTGTGGTACCAAGCTGTCATTATTGGTAAAATGACATTAGCTTCAAAACTGAGGCCTTCTCACATACTCTGAGATGATCACACACACAGTTTTAACAAAAAAGCATTGAAGTAGCCACATTTATTCCTAATTTGGCTACATTTTTATCATGACTATGAGGAACGCCCATAGTATATATTGAGCTTCAAAAGCATCACACTCCAAATATGTCATTATCACTCTTGAATCTCATATATATAACTAATTTTTAAGGATCTATATTTAATAAAATATTAATACTATTAATGATGATTTCATAATATACTCAGAACATCAGTACAGAATCAGGAAATTTATTCAGATTTTAACGACAAAACGCAACAGTTGGAAAGAGTCCAAAGTGTGCAGCTCTAAACTGTTGAAAGAATCTGTGAAACCTTGTTATTTCCACATTATATTAAATATATGACAACCACAGAGGACCAAAGCATTTTATGTATATGACTATATATTCTAAAAGTAGCTACAATAAAGAATTTATAATACACACAAAAAGTATGGTAAGAGAACACTAAGACTATAAATTAAAACACTCAGAGGTGAGGTATACCGAAATTAAAGTGGCTTTTACATGACAAAGGCATTTTGTGGCAGCAGCAGGGATAGAGAATTCAATCCTCCAGGGCAGCTGCATTAACCCTGAGTCTTTTTTTTCTTCTGTGATTTTGCATTTCACATCTTTTAAGTCCTACAACAAATAAACAGTGTAATGTCCGTCAAAGTTTCAAATTATTACAGATTCCCACTGAGTTAACAAAATAACCAACAATCCTAGTAAGTTCCTTTTCCCAGATGGACCACCTACAGAAGTCAGAGGTACCTTCCTAACAGATCTGCCCAAGTTTGCTTGTGCCAGAGCTACAGAGACACACTGAGATCTTTAATTCCAGACTCTGCTAAGGGAATGAAGATGTGCTTCCAACACATCTTTGTATTCTGAAAGACCACTAAATCCGAAATAGTATCAATGCTACTAACAATAATTCAGTATAGGCTTAAGATGAGAGAAACAGTTGAATGGTTTGGTGACTATCTGTAGTCTCACACTTTTTTTGCCTCTAGAGATAAAGCTACTGTAAAACAGCCACTGTTCTTCCACCAGCCTGGTGACTCTCCTGGTCTTGTGCCCCCCCTTCAGTGATCAACCAGTTCATTAACACTGAAAGGTTAAAAATACCTTGCAAAGTAAATAAACAGAAAGTGAGAATGGCAGGAACAATCACTACTAACTTTGCTATGCCACTACCTACTCACATCACCAATCCTCAGAAACAGTTCTACACCTGCTTTCACATTTGGCCTTCACAGTTTGCAGTGTTCATAGAGAAGCTAGTACTTTAAAAAGGCTGAAACACTAAAATGAACTTTTCTTTACTTCAGAGATCTACCAAAGCCTTTGCCTCGAGAAAAACTAACTCATGACAATGAGATGAAAAGGCACCTTTCAGCTGAAATTCCACTTCTTCTGAATTATGTTTTGTATTAAAAACTGTATTAGGATACTGATTTTCTACTCTAAGAGGAGAGCTATCCATAGTCTTCGTCTATAAAACTAAGCTGAAACCATGAGGCACTGACGACAAATTACATGTATCTCCTGAAGGCAAGCATATATAAAAAAGGAGCTGCTTTCAAATGAGGAAATTACCTAGTGCAGCAAACTGCATTTTTGATTCACAACTATTTTCAATACAAGTTTATTCATTTTTAATAAAAAATTCACAACTTTCCAAGTTGATAAAAATATTTCGTATGAAGAACACACGGAGAAGGTGGGGGGCAATACCTCTACTGCTATTTAATATCAACTCACATTTAATATTCAAATTTTTGCAGAAATTTAAAATAGGGAGGGGAAAAAGCAAAAGGTCAGAGGTCTTAAAAGCTGCAATTTCTTTTGCAAGACCAATTCAACCACAAAGATTCATGACTTCTGTGAAATTCTATACTAAGAAGCTAATTAACCAACACTGCAAATTAAATTTAAGGTAATTACCACTCAGTTTTTAAATTGCTTAGTACAAAGAGACTAAAGTAACCTACAGCAGAGGTTTGGGGGTCCTTAGGAGAGCAATAGTAATGAGAACACACTGCTTTCCTCACATTCTTTTATTTTACCTAAATGTGTTAAAACCTTCCCATGCAAGAACACGAAGCGGAAGAAATAAAAAACAAGGCATGGCTGAATGGCACCTTAAACTATTAAATATCAACCCGGAAGTTTGGGCTTTTTTCCCTGTTTGAATTGCTTGTTGAGAAGCAGTAACCCTTGCCTTACCAACAAAATTCTCAGACAAAGTTGCCATATTCTACAAAAGGAACCTAAACCAAATACATTATGTCTGGTAATATGAAAGCATGTCTGTAATGAGTTTGAGGAAGTGTCTTAAGTGGATACATATGAAAATATTTTAATTTATAAAAAAAAAATTAAAAGCAGAGTTACTTTCAAGTAGAATCCCTCTGTTACAACAATCAAATGCTGTCCAATTTCAAATAACAGGCCTAAACCCCACAGATATTTATAAACAAAGTCAATATTATTTCTGTAAAACTGAACATTGTGAAACAACTGCAACTGTTGATACTGAACTTTGCCAGGACTACCACAGTCGAGGTGTATTTCTCAAGTACTTCTTTCTCTAGAGTATTTGCTTAAACAATCCTCTTGCCTCCTGTCACATCTGTCAGCCAGAGAAATTATACAGGTTAAATATAACCACATTAAAAAGAAAAAACAAAAACATAAAACCATGGTAGTTAATTTTAACCTGGATCATTTCCTCAAGCTAGCTATGGGACACAATTCCACGAACCGTTGTGCTGGTGCAGCAGCAGCAAGGAAGAGGCAGGCCAGGTCAAGTCAATACTGCCACCAAAAGCATTGTTTGTCAACCAGTCATTTAAAAAAAAATACCTACTTTCAGGATTCAGAGCATCAGTTTCTATGGTTGGCCACTGTGCCTCTACATGCAGTTTCATATTCCAGCCAAAGCCATATCTGACTTTCCCTGTGCCCCTTGGTAGGTTAACTCTTATCAGCACATGAAAACAACGGCCTCACAAAAATCTCACTGCAAACATGTTTGATTAGTACATAAGCACTCCTCGTCATGGAAAAAAAACCATTTCCAATTTATATCGAGGCCTAAAGTATCTGGAATTTGAAAGTGAAACCAAGCAAAAATCCTGATCCACCTTAACCCAATCACAAAATTGAAGTACCACGGATTTCCAGTCCCTCGCTGGTCGTATTTCACACCTGCATGCATGGAGTATTTAACACACTGACTTTAATGTCGCAGGAACTCAGAGAAGGACCGGGGGCTACTGGGAATCCCGCAGGTTTTACGAGCGTGAACACGCTGCAGTTATCGCAATAAAGTTATCGGAACCAAAAAAAAAAGGGGGGGGGGGGGGAGGTAGGGAGGTGGGTTAAAAAAGGCTACAGTGCGTACGCAACCGCGCAGCTCCAGCCCACCTGCCGCGGGGCACGCTCCCGCCGCGGCCGGAGCCCGAGGCCCCGCGGAGCCGAGAGCTGTCCCGCGGCGGGGAGGGCCCGGGGCCGAGCGGGCACCGACCGCCGCCGCCCTGTAAAAACCCGCGCTCGCAGGGCCGCCGCGGAACCCTCCCCCGCGCGTGGGGCCGCGGGCCGGGCGCGTCCCCCCGGCGCCCGCGGGACGAGCGGCCCCGGGGAGCGGCGGCCGCGGGGGGAGGCGCCGCCCGCGGCTCTGCTCGGTCCGGCGCGGCGCGGCGCGGCCCGGTCCGGGGGATGCCGGGGAGTCCTGCGCCCGCCCTGCCCGGCTGGCGGGCGCGGGGCCAGGCGGGCAGCGCTCCCGACGCGCCCGGAGTTGTGACAGGAGCAAAGTGGGTCACCGGGCCTAGCGGGTGCCCCGCGAGCGCCCCCCGCCCCCGGCCGCGGCCGTGCCCGCCCAAGGGCAGCCGCTGCACTCCCGCCCCCCGGTCCACGGCGGGAGACGCACGCCGGCGCTGTCAAACTTCCACCGCTCCCCTCCGCGCCGCGTCCCCGCCTTCCCCTCGCCACCGCACACCGGGGCCCGGCGGGTCCGCCCGCAGCGCTCCGCGCCGCGCTCGCTGCTCACCTGGCCCCGCGCTGCCGCTGCCCGCCCGCGTTGCCCCGGCGAGTGCCGCTCCCCGCGCGCAGCCCCGCGCCCGCCGCCCGCCGGCACTGCCCGACTGAACCTCCTGCTCCTGCTCCTCCGGCGGCGGCGGCACAGCAGCACCCGGGCCCGGGAGTCCCCCCGACACCACCGCGCCTGCGCCGCCGAGCCCCCACCGCCGCCGGCCGCCGCGGCGCCTCGCGCCACCGCGCGTGCGCCGGCGCGCACTGCAACCCGCGGCACCCCGGGGCCGCCGCCGCCGCCGCGCGTGCGCAGGAACGGCGCACCGGGGAGGTGATCCCCGCTCCGCGCGCGCCCCTCACCGCGCCTGCGCAGGGGGGCGGTGGAGGGCTGCGTGCGCTGCGCAGGCGCGGTGGGGCGCGTGCCTCCCTGACCTCGCCTCACCTCGCCTCACCTCACCCCGAGCCGCGGGAAATGGCGGCGGCGCCGAGCCGCGGGGCCGCCGGGCGGGCAGCCGGGCTGCGAGCGGGACAGCGGGCACCGGGCTGCAGGCGCCCGCCGAGCCCGCCGAAGGGGCTCCGCTGAAAGGAGACCTTTCCCCGCCGGCACGGTGAACCCGGCACATAACGCGGTCGCACGCTCGTTCCCAAAGCGGAACAAGCGACATCCCGGCTCCTCTCTGGGAAATTCAGGGGTTCAACGAACCCGTCCCAGCGGAGTTCCGTGGTTTCTTCTTTGCTGTCCATAAACGGGTGAAATTCCCAAAGCGGCAGAGAGCAGACCTGTTTGCCTCAGCCCTTTTGTATGTACGAGGCTTGTCATACCGTTCGATTAATATGCGGCGACTATTTAAACATAATCCTGTCATGCCTGCAGCAGAGCATTGCGGCGAACCGTTTTCTGTAAAATAAAACGCTCAGAATTGTGTATTGTAAGTAATATTGTGTAAGTAATTCCAACTTTTTCTCTCAGCTGAAAGGGTTTTATTTTTCAGTTGATACCTGAATAGCAATGTATTTAAAAGTATCTATAGAAGTTGAATTCGTGTTTGCGTCTAGAACAAAATAAAGAACTTGACTGCAAATTGTCATTGATTTCCTTTCTGGATTACTTTTCAGGTAGTTCATTTGATTCACAACTGTGACCTAAGTCTTAGATACTGAAAAGGTACTGTAGGGTCAGGAGCTTCTTTACCAGTTACCTCCCAAAGGGCTAATCATGAGCTTTTCCACTGAAAGAATTCTGAAAAGCATTAGTAAAAATATTTATTTTTGTTACTTATTTATAATACTCCAATTCCAGCTTTTAGTTGAGGAAAATGTAACATAAGGAAAGTGAATAATATTATCTCTTTTGATGAAATGTAGTAGAGCTAATAGGGTATAGCAAGCATAGAACGTCCAGGAGAAAATGTGGGACTGTTTTCCAAAAAAACCCTAGTTATCAGAACGCAAATATGGCAAAGAAACCAGGAGGCTACAAATAACTTCTATCAAATTTGCCAGAAGATTTTTAGTAACCAGTGATAATTCTTCAGAAAAAGTAGGGATGCTGCACTATCTCACACCTTGCATGAACAAGACCATACCACCTACTTACTGCAATGTTGCAGTGACAAATTATTCTTTGACAAGATCAGAACAGGCAACACAGCTGTGCAGAGGATACACATTGGGATTTTCTGCCAAAGCTGTGGCCTAAGTGAGGTCATTTTTTTTAATGCTACTTCTCTTTTGGCAGTATTTTGTAGGATCCTGAAGGAACAGGCCAGCTTAGAGATGATGGTTTTATGAGACTATTCTTCTAGAAATAGTGTTGCTCTGTTCTTGCCATCAGAGTGACTTTGCTGTGCAATGATAGTTCCGATTCACTCACACGGGCTATGTGAGTGCCAGCACAGCTTTTAAACAATGCCAGATTGGGAGCAGCAGATTTCTTGTGAATTGGTGAATGGTGGGACTGCATTGAGCTGGAAATGCAGAAATTTCCAATGCACTTCCATTAACTATAGCCATGTTTCCTAGAGAAATGCCATTGCCATCCTGCACAATGTATTTCAGAGCCACAGAACAACCACATGTTTAGTGTGTTCCTTTTTGATCCACGCTGGCCTGTTCAAAAGAAGGTCTGTTTGAGGAAACTGGCATTGAAACTAAATTTCACATCACTCCAGAATACCAAAATGAGTGGATGTGGACTTGAAAGCCTGTCACAATCCACATAATCCTTGCAGAGCAAGGTTGGCTAATATTCCTGGAGCCTTTTCTTCCACACAGCATAACTGACTCCACACCAGATATACCTGGTTTTAACCTGCAGATTAGCTCGGATTTTATTGCTGCTTTGTCACATCTGATGGCTTTAATTACAACGGTGTGGTCACTTTGCTTGGACAAAGACAAGGGTACCAGAGGGGAGGTTTGGCTCTTTCCCTGTCGCTCCCACTGTCACACCCTGTGCGTGTGTCCCTGGCAGCAGCCACAGGCGTGGGAGGGAGGCTCAGGCTCGCTGCTGAGAGGAAGCAATGCTGCTTTTACAGCAGCCGGCTTTGATACTTGAAGGGACTCTGCAGTCGTGTCTAAAGTCCCTGATGACCTATTTACATTTAAAACTACCAGCTAGCGTTCTAGTTTGAAGTGGCAGATAACGGCAGATAAGGCATTGTCTCTGAAATGCAGGTACTAGTTATCTCTGAATCTGGAAAAGAAAAGCTTCCCGCAGTGGTATCTGCCAGTAGGTGTCCACCAGTAGGCTTACCAAAGGAGTAGAAAACCGTGTTTGAACTAACTTGTGTCAGAACACATGATCTTAGTTAATTTTTTTTTCAGGCAATACATGTTTTTATCTCAATAAAATATCTTACCGTGGAATTGCAAAATACCCGTGTTTAGGCAATATCCTCACCACAGAATTACACAAAATCTATACGAATTCTTGTCCTTTTTTTCAGATCTTTTTTCCCTTCAAAAATAATCAAATGCCTTTTCAACCTTTAAAAAGTGGCCTTTAGATCAAAAAGTGGCCTTTAGATTCAAATGATGAATTTTTCATAATGTGAATTATTTAGAAACGTTCCTAGTGCTTTCTGTTTTCAGATATCTTCCCACAAGTTTAGCTATCCCAATGAACCTGCTTGTATTTCACCAGTTTATATACAAGTATTGTGGGTAAACACCTGTCCTTGGAATTCTGAATGCAGCAGTTTACAATGGCTTTGAGAAACTTGCCTTCTGGAAACTTTCAGGCCAGCAAGTTGAGGTGATCATTAACCAGTAAACACACTGGGGTACTAGAAAAGAATAAGGAAATATAATGACACTTCTAGCATAAATTATTTCTAAAATAACTGAAGTTATTAAAGCATTTGAAGAACACAAGTACCTTTTCCTATAGTCTGCTTCTGCTTTAATATGTTATAAGAATTGCAGGACAAATTTTATTTAGCTTCTTCCTAGATCATTGTGATTTAAAGAGCTGTTGAATTAAAAAATACGTGGCAGTACAGTAAACAGAATATGTTAGTAAAGTTACCAGACACTTCAAGCACTGTGCCTCAGTTTCATTCCTCACTAAGTTTTTAAAACTGATCTTGTCCATTGTAGAGTTTAAATGATGGTTTTGAATCTGTAACATGCATTTTACTTTATTTAAACTAGATTTTAATTTAACACTAAATACTTCTCCACTCCTTAAGTAACATCAGGGAAACTTTTGTATATTTTTATTTTTACCATGCCTTACTATGTTCATTATTTTCATAGTTACGATTTAAAATACAATCTATATAAACCCCAAAAACCAACCAATGGAGGAAGAAACACAGACACAGAAAACACCAAAATGAACAGAATTTCTCTTGTTCCCTTGCAGCCTTTTGAGCAATTAGGATCTTTTGTATCTGACTGAAGTTAAATCAGCTGATGTGGCCTGTGGACCCTGGAGGTCAAAGGCAGGTGAGCCAGTTTTGTTAGTAGTGATGAGAGATTTTGAGGATACTCATACTCATTCCTAAGGGATTACAAGTTTCCTAAGGTCCTTATCTATGCAATGGTAAAATGCAGAATTGGTTCTCCATTATACAAATCAAATGAAAGTCAAGAAAGGCTACTCTTTTCTCTCTTCAGATCTTGAAATTTAAATTACTGTAATTCTAACAATTTCATTTGGTTGTCCTATTCCTTTTGCTTCTGGAAAAAAATGTTTGATTCCTGACAATTGAGAATAAACTCCCTCCCAAAAAAACCTGAAAAGAAGGAAAAGAGGAAACTTGTCTGAATCTAAAAAATTATTAAACATTCTGTACTAGTTCTCAGTGCTTTTCAAAAACATCTAATAGAACTGCTAACATACACAGAACTAATCATGGGAGTCCTTTGCCATTTCTGCTGCATCCTGTCACAACTTCTGCTACCATTAGAGAATTTACTGGGCAGTCGATAAACTAACAAGATTTCCTCAGTTTGCATAACTGAGACTTTTCCTGAGAGGCTTTTGATTTGTTCAAGTCAAAGGGGAAATAAAGGTAGAATAATCCTGTTAGACCACTCCTGCTGAGAAAAGAACCTGCAAACAGTGGACACCACTTTCTTAGTGAAACCCAGAGATCTCAGTAAGGTTGCACACATGGTGATAAGCATGCACAGCAAAATAAGTCTTTCATGTGTTTGAACAAAAGTGAACAATTAACTCTCACAAAGTGAATTAACAAATTGAGTAAGTCAGATGCTCTATGATTCCATTGCTTCCAAAAAATTGCTATCTCATTAGTCTCTTATATTTAATTTTTCTAGATTTTTTTTAATTGCCAGTTCAATTCTTTGTATTGAAGTATTCTACATCTTATGCAAGAATGTTTGACCAATTAAGATTAATTATAACCTAAACATCCTCTGGAGCATTTGTAAGCTTCTTTTGCATAGTGCTTTCCACAACTTTCTCTTAGCTTCACATACTTTTGCCTCCTCTGAAGACATTTCCATTCCTGCAAGTGTTGCTGCCTAATTAGAAAATAAAAATAATAACAAGCATCTTTGGAACGTTTTAAATGCATTTTAAAAGAATATCTAGTGCATCTCAATTACTTAAATTAT